GTGCGCCGGACAGTGGCTCGGTGGCCGATTTATGCGTCAGTCATTTGCTGGTCGACGTCCACGTCCTCGACATGAATTTCTGACACAAATTTCTTGTAAACAGCGTCCTGTCCATCTGTGGTCAGCTGTGCTTACCGCGCTGTTTCGTTACTGGGCCACATCGAAAGACGTGTGCAACCAACTGGACGACGTTCTCCGTCTGGCACGCTGTAGTGCAAGATACGCACCGATTACTGGTGTGACATTATTGCAAACATCTCGACTCACAAACTATCGGAAAATATGTCGCCAGTTGTGGTCAGCATTGGCATTGTCTACGGCGAAAATCGGCATTTGTTTTTGTTTACTTCATGCATCATGCAACACTATATTTCTTCATTTTCTGACTGCTATTCGCTACCTTACTGAATTAAGTGATCAGTTAAGGGTCGTTGTAAGCACCCAATTCCTATATAACGCATTTAGCTGCCTGACATTACGGAAGATTTTTGCGAATTTCACGGAAGAGCTTCAGAGCAGCCAGTGGGGCCTGCAGTAACATATCATATATTCATGACAATTTCAGAAAATTAACTGTGATTACTTGGCAATTTGATAAATAGGCCATCAGCAATTGCTTCAGTGAACTTTTTTCCAAACTCAATAGGTAGTCGCAAAATTCTCAAGATTGACAACATGGTGTTATAGAGCCGCCCCCTGACTTAAAAGTAAAGGTTCCATTCAAACTTGACTAACATTTGATTCCTTTTTGAGGAACAATGGTTATGATATGGCGAAGATGAGGAAGGAAATAAACTAACATAAGCTTCGTCTATGGAACTGGAATTGAAAGTCTGGGACCCTCGTTCAAGTACAACGATGATATTTGTGGAATTGAATTACTTTCATTTAAGCGCTAAGAATTCTTGAGCTATTGAGACATTTTAACACAAACTACAGCGATGCAGCTACCGTCATTTGTCGTGCAATTCTTGCCTTCATTTATAACATTTAAGTTATTAAGATGCTGTGATACAGTGGAAATGTAGAGTTCAAAATCCGTGTAAGAAACAAATATCTCTTTTATCCACTAATTATTTTTAGCAATGAATTCACTCCACGCTACTTCGATACAACCAGCTCAGAAACGTGTAGCAAGTCGTTAACCTGCGAACAGCAAAAATAATATAATTTTATGGTGTGACCATACCAGAAAGGATGGGGTAAGGCAATGCTACCGAGTGTGAACGTTTTCTGATGAATGCAGTCATCCCTTAATCACCCCAGTATGATAATCAGGACATGGTCCCTGTTGTTGCTGTAAATTCCAAACTGCCTGCAGTAGACAGTAGACGAGAACTGCTACTATTGCGATGATGATACGACCAGGCAGTTTTTAAGGCGACACACCGAAACATCGGTATTGCTAGGTCAACAACGTTGTACTGTGTAAAATTAAACCTTGTTCAATGCTGTTTATCGATAAAGAATAGTAATTTTATGAGGGCTAGCTGAGCATTTCCGTATATACTGTGGAATTTGCCAGCTGAAATGTCCTTGTAGACCTTTGAGGCAAAACCAGGTTTTACTAACAGATAAGGCAGCGCAGAACAGTCGTATCAAACAGCAGATATTTAGTATAATTTCAGCCTATGTCTCAGTAGTCATGTGCAGTTGGCCGCACAGGTCCTCATGTTTTGTTCATAATGTCACTATTATCCTGTTTAACGTCTTTCTCAGTCTCCGGTTGATTTCTTGCCAAATTATTTGCTTGAGTATCACTGACATTATTATTTATGGTTCAGGCTGCATTGGAGTTTAACGTTCTCCGTTATTCTGCCACCAGAATCCATATGCTCTTCCATAATGTTTCTTGGCTTCCTAAAATACTTCTCTGCATGCAAACTTCGTGTTGTACAAAAAGAAAGTGACGCTGCGATTTTCCGAAATGTTGCCTTC